TATTCGCCTTTGTTTTGCCTCAGTATCATGAATTACCACAAATTGAGGCCAATGTGATGTGTGTAATTAGTTGATGGGGCGAACCCCAATCACCCTTTGGTTTTGTCTTCGTTCTGATCGTGTTAATTCATGTTCTGTTTTTTTCTTCTGGACAATAATTCCCCGCGGCTTTTCTTTCAAACGGAACAATGCATGAACTTCAAAATTGGTACGAACATCAGTTCTGATACAGAGGCAGTGGCGTAGCCAGGAATTTTTCAGTGGGGGGGGGGGGGGGGCGCTGAGGGGGCTGGAACATTTCATGGGGGGCGTCATGTAGGGGCGTCAATCGCTTCTCAAAAGTGGGGGGGGGGGAGGACATACCTTGATCAGAACTGATGCGAGCGCGAAGCGCGAAGCCCTTACGGCGTGGGGGTTCGGGGCCCGCTTAAGGGCCCCAAACAAATTGGATTCTAGATGTTCTGTGGTGTGATCTGAAGCAATTTCTTAATACCACTTTCCTCCATGTTTTAACTAATATTTTCTTAGCAAAAGATAATTATTTGAACATCGTTTTCGAGGTTGGAGTCAGTGAATCAGCTATCGGTATTTTGAGCTATAGGCGTGGGGTTCGGGGCCCGCTTAAGGGCCCCGAAAAAAATGGATTCTCGATGCTCTGTGGTGTGATCTGAGGCAATTTCTTACCACTTTAACCAATAATTATCTTAGCACAAAAGATAATAATTTAAACATAATTTTCGAGGTTTTCTCAGCTAAAGGCATAAGAAATTTTTTTGAACATTGTTTTCGAGGTTGGAGTCATTGAATCAGCTACCAGAATTCTGAGCTATAGGCGTGGGGTTCGGGGCCCGCTAAGGGCCCCGAAAAATTTTGGATTCTAAATGCTCTGTGGTGCTATCTGAGGCAATTTCTGACCACTTTAACCAATATTAAAGTAAAAGATACATTGTAGTACATAATAGGGCCCTGTAAATGAGACCCGAGTTCAAAAATCTGGGGGGGGGGGGACATTTGATATTGTATTCCCCACCCTTCAAAAAGTGGGGGGGGGGGGACCAGTCCCCCTGTCCCCCCAGGATTGACGCCGATGGCGTCATGTAGATCAATGATATTTTTTTTAGAAACTCAAAATCTCAGGGGGGGGGGGCGGGGGGGGGCGACCGGGGGCGGCAAGGTTTCATGGGGTTGTCGCCCCCCCCCCCCACGCCCCCCCCCCCCTTGGCTACGCCACTGATTTCAAAGAATTTAAATTGGTCTATTATTATTATTTAGCTTATATGAATGGAGGAAAAAGTGTGTGCGTGGCCGATTCGCGTGATATTGCTGACTGAAACTGTGTGACCCACAGACCTCCTGTCTATAATACGTGTTCCGTGGTGAGAGCGAGCAGTGCAGTGGGTGTTAATACGCATTTTAGATTATCATTATGCGCTATGTCACGCCGGTTGTCAGCTTACTGGTCCGCGGTCGCCGGTCGAAGGGTCGTTTCTCAGTGGTTATCATGTGGATCATTCGCGACTATTTAGATTTAGATCAATGATAAGTTTTTTAGAAACTCAAAATCTCAGGGGGGGGGGGGGGGGGGGGAATGGGGGGGGGGGGAATGGGGGGGGGGGGGACTGGGGGGGGGGGGGGGGGGGGCGACAAGGTTTCATGGGTGGGGGGCGGTCGCCCCCCCCACGCCCCCCCCCCCCCCCCGGTGGCTACGCCACTGTACAGAGGTGAGTGTCACCACTATCTATAAATCTCACATTTTAAAGTGATGATCCCTGTCAAAAATAAAAAAAAGTACAGGACTGAAAGAACTGACAACGATTAACGGGGACATAATTAACCAATTAATTATATTCACCAAGTCAGATTATTTACAATGCTTACAAAGATCCGGAGTCTTGGATCAAACTTCTCATAATCAATCCTTTTTATAAGTTTCACATTCTACACATGCACTTTAGTCCACAAATTCCATTTATCAAGCTCAATTAGAAAATTCACAAATATCTGTAAGTGTACAACAACACAATCCAAAATTCAATCAAACTTTAGAATATAATTCAACCGTGACTCTTGGTTTTAGTTTCAATCCAAAGTTCAATTCAGAATTCAATTCAATCGGATATAAATAATTTGATATAAAATTCAAACGTGACTACCACAATTCAAAACTCACTTCAATCAAATATCAATACTTGTTTTCGTTTGCTACACACTGGCTAAATTAAATGAAAATAAAAAGCAACTTTTCAGATTACAACTCTCAAATTTGGCAACTTGAATCACAATTTTGTTCAATTAATTCCTTCATATTTGGTTATTTCTGGGCTGGCAACAAATACAGTAGTTAATCGCCCTCTTAATTGTTGTGGCCCCAGTGCAAATAAATAACGTCATATTTATAGATTTCCAAACAAAATTCACTAAACATTGATTTCTTGCTAAATGTTGAGGACAAATTTAAAATCACCCTTCGAACTAACATAAATTACAGTATTAATCATTCTACAAAGTAAAAATGATTGGAACTATTCCTGACCGTGACGTTTCACCTTCGTTTAATAACGAAACAGAATGACCAAAGCATAATAAATGAATACAAAAGCGTATTTGCTTTTTCATCACAGCACCAATCTCCTCTTGTGACGAGTTTGGACAAATAGAATCATGCATGCGCGAATTACACTGCACTTATAATGAGACTCTGCACTTAAAATGAGACCGATAGACATTTGAAAACGAAATGAAAAGATAAGCCAACAGATATCGTTGGACGAAATTTAGGTATAATTCCATCTAATTTGTATAAAACAAGTGTTAAAAGCAATCGAGAAAACCCTTACTGTTTGGTGTCATCATGTCTGTAACAGTTGAGTGAAGAAAGTGAACATGCACGCGGTGAAAGAGTACTAAAGTCACCGCAAGATTACTCGAACTCTAGTGTTATTGTCATGGAATCGCTTTCTTTTTCTTCTGCTTCTCACGCTTCTGCTCGATAATGTGCAATCACCTCCATTTGGGTGGTTATCACGCACATTTCGATTAAAACAAGTCTGCAAACATTTTTAGAAATGTACTATTTTGGCTTAAAATGGTTTGAAGGTGTTGAAAAATATTATTTAATGTGGGCCAATTAACATGCTAAAGATGCTTAAATGTTTGAGTTGCCCGGCGGTTGCCGTCGGTATGACGTCACAGTGCACATGGTCTATAGAAACAATTTTTTTCTTTTTTTTTCTTTTCTTTTTATTTGATCTTTTGTTTTAATGCTCCTGTCATTCAATTTCGTTTGTGGCAAGCTGAAACGTTACGGATTGAAATGTATTGAATCCGTTTGACTCTATTCACATATTTAAATAATTTTTTTTAGGTACTTTCAAATCTGATGTACTCTGCTTTTCTTCATTCAAATAGAGTAATCTAACATTATGAATGTTTTCAATGTACAAGTAAACTAAATCAAGCATGCATAAGCAATAATGACATAATGCAGTTCAACTCTACAATGTTCAGTCCATTACTAGGAACATGTTAAATTGGACATGAAAATGAAAGAGTTGTAGCCATGCAATGAATGAATATACATGTACTAAAATGTGCCGCTAACATGAATGACAAAAAAAAACCGAATTTATTTTTTTTATTTGTCAAAACTACGATCATTTAAAAAAAATAATTAGGAATTACACTTCACTCAAAATGAAAGCAACTGAAGCAGATTTTGAAATTGGATTAACGATGGAGCCCAACAATGTTGACGGACGAAGCTGAAGCCAAAACAAATTTTAGTCTCCGGTTTTTGGTCTGCGCGCGCGCCGCCGTAGCCATGGGCGTCGGCAAAACTAAAAAGTTTTATTTTCAATGTAAGATGATATCTCAAAAACCGCAAAAATCACTGGTTTGATTGGAATATCATGCTGCAGCACTGAAAAGTCCGTGTGGATGGCAACTGCTATAATTTACGTACTGCATGATCACATGACTTTCTGTAGCTCAGGTGACCTCTGTATCGCCATTTGAAGTAGGCTTCATACTGTAAGTAAGATTCTACTAAGGCTTATTTGCGTAAAGAAAGAATTATGACCAAATGAAAGATTCATACTTCGAATGCAGGGACCGGTTGCGGGTAATATAGACCTACAGGGTGACCCAAAAATGCAACCCTAAAACATTTGCCTTAAAAAGGGATAAGTAGATTGTTCTTTTTGGATATCAGATTAAAGCTGAGAGCGTTTTCTTTTAAATACTGAAAAAATCATAAAAAAGCACTCTGGGTTGCTGAGAAAATGCTAATTATGTGAACGTTGTAATTTTCATCGTGTACACAATTACCACAGTAAGGTATTTCACTGTACCTATTTGTAAATGTCCTAATCCTTAGAAACGGAACATACTATGACAAAAGTACGAATGGATTTGAAGGAAATACCTTATAGTACCCAATACGAATCATCAATTTACTCTCTACTTGACAGAAAGAACACATATAATTTCTGAACTAATAAATATTTCAACCACTGTAGTTTTGTGTCACAAGTAATCACGAATGACATTTTGAACACAAACCTACCATCTAGATGCTGACAAATTGATTCTCAATTTAGTTTCCCTTCTCTCAATGAATTTTAATACAGGAATTTTTTAACACAGACAAAATTAATCTCTTTCTTCCAGCAAAACATTCTCAAATTTAAATGGAATGATAGGAAAGCAAATAATTTGATTGAATCCCAGATTACAAAGGAATTTGGACGACCATAATGACGCCAGCGTACTCTTAAAAGATGGTCCTAATTATTCACTGTTAGGGATTACCTCCCCCCCCCCCGAGTACGGAGTTTCCGAACAACACCATTTGTCTTTTTCTGTGGCCATAACGACCTACAGGAATGTTGACAAGATAATATAACGTTTATTTTTAGAGCTTGACTTTTGGCATACCAATTTCGGAAAACACTCACTCAGTTTGTTGTAAAAAGCCCCAAAAGGAAAGGTGCTCTGGATTACCCCCACTGGCGTTCATGGAAACATTCATCTCATTGTTTGCATGAAAGCTCAAGAATTCGAAGCTTCGTCAAGGCGCATGAGTCGTCTGCAAAATACTTCGCGTAACCCCTTGCGAAATTGACGATACTTGAAGGCGTAGATGGCCGGATTGACGCAGCTATTGGCAGCCACCATCGCTATAGACAAACGGTAGAACCCATTCTCGACGTTGAGATTCCAGCCCAGATTGAATGCGAGATAGAGGACCTGGTTTGGTGTCCAGCACACCAGGAAGGTGATGAACACGATCCAGAGCATCTTGAAGGTATTACGTCTAGCTCGGAGTAGGGACTCCATCATACCTTCTGGTTGGGCGTTGCCATCCGTGGTGGATGCTCCGGCAGCTGGACCTACGTTGGCCGGTGCCGGTCCAACTCGGGCCGCTCCACTCTTAAGCTCTACGCTGGTGCGAATGTACGCAAACAGCATCACTGCCACCGGCACGATGTACTGCAGAATGGCCACCAGGCCCCCGATGACTTTGGACCGATACGCAGCACTCGAGACGCATCGACCGTCTTGTACCTTAAATGCGTTAGCGACGTAAGAGTTAATTACTGTTCCAATGATCCAACACGCCGCAATGACCACGCCAACTTTCAGTCTTGGGCGCTTGGCGAAGGCTGCTTGGTACTTGAACGGGTGAACGATGGCGAAGTACCGCTCCATGGTCAACGACAACAGGTTGTACGTTGATATCACATAAATGAGGAAAAGTGCAAATCTGGAGTACCAGACGCGGCACACTGCCCACCCGAGGGCGTTATTGGGCATGGGGTCGGGTATCGGGGCCTCGTTCTGTAGAAGAGTCATTAATGAACCAAGAAGATCCACCACAGCTTGGTGGAAGATGAAGGCGTTGGTACGAGTGTGCATCGATGAGACTTTACCGATGACAACACAGACGAGACCGTTGCCCAAGACGCCGACAATACCAATGATGGTGTTGAAGATACGCAGCCATAGAATCTCCTCCATTATGGTATATAAACTGTGCACTTGTCAGTCTCTTGCTAGAAAAATCATCAACCTCCTTTTGCGTCTGTATGCCGAGACGAGAGGCAGCCCAGCCTGCGTAATAATTTTGCGCTTTCGAGATTGAAACGAAGTACTGAATGGCTCCGAAGGACTATCTAGAAAGACCGCTAATCGTAGGAATTCATCTTTTTGGCTCGGAAACACCTTTGACAACGAAATTGTAGCAATTGAAAAGATCGTTAAAACACACGACGATTTTATAGTAACTGTCAGGAGTAGTGTGGGCGAAAAAAAGATGTTTTCTATGTAACAAGCTTGTACCGGGATGCAAAATAAATAGCAATTACTGTCAAAGGTTAGATTTTTTTCATCTGATGTAGCATGGTTAACTTCTTTTCCCTTTGAAAATCAGTTCCTCTAAATGAGTAAATTCAGGACCATGGAAGAGCGTCGAACCAATTTAAGTCTGCGGGATCAATACTGTTCATCGTAATTTTCGAGTCCCAGAGACGCAGCGCTGTTATTTACATGAAGTTGGTGTCATGGAATACATAGGTACATGATGAAAATAGCATTCGAGGCTCGTCCCAAGCTCAGAAAATTAGTGACACATTTTTCAATTACAGATGGAGGTGCCATTCTTTTCATGTGGCCCAATTTGATTGCTTTGTTTTTGATTGCACGGTTTCGATATTACAAATAGGTTCATTGGGCGGTAGAAAAGGGAAACAAGTACACTTGACCTGTTCATGAGGGCCCACAAACTTCAAATTGGCGTAATTTTGCCAAGAAGTCTGTTACCAGTGTCAATAACTATAAGATTTCTTATCTAAGAACTATTTTCGAAAAGCTGGGCAAAGTGTCCTGACTTGACTTAATAGGGCGGCCGTCCTTGGCTTCATGAACTGCAAGATATTAAAAATATAAAGAGTCATGTGAATATATCGGGGTTGGTAGAGCGCTCAATTGGAAGAGCGCTCGCTTAGCATGCGAGAGGTTCCGGGATCGATACCCGGATCTTCCAATATTTTCTGATTATCCGTGTATGTTTTCCCGTTCTTTTTCGTAACAGAGAGTTTATGCCATTTCACGAGGTTTCAGGGAGTATAGGTTATGCATGCGGTTTCTAATTCGCAGCTATAGTTTGGGATTTCGTGTTTTTTCTTCAAATAATCATGTGGTCAAATGTTTACATGTACCAAATCTCATGTCATTTACTGGTTTTCGATTTCGCTTGAAATAGGTGAATTTGGCATTTCCATTTCGCTAAAGGCATTTCAATTTTCTGTTAAAGAAATTTAAATTAACATGATTTTATTGAGTTTTGTATTTCCGCAAAGTGATACCACCAATTACAGTTGCGTTGCAAGTACTTCAACAAATTCGTTTTTCAAATACATTTTCAACTTGTGTGTTTTATTCCAAAATAAAAACAATGTTTTTTTTAGGGGGGGGGGCGTCTGCAAACTTTTTGGATTACGAGAGAGTTCAGCTGCCAAGGGGGATAGGAGTTGAAAATAGTAGGCATTTGCTATCTTTTTCTGCACGATTTTTTTTCTATTTTTCCGGCACAAGAGGGTTTTTTAGACTAAAACCACCTCCTCTCCCCATTGTCCCCCAAGTAGATCCGCTATAATACATGACTACAGTGTATTTTTCTTTGTTTTAAAAAACATAAACCAGTCTTCAGCGGCGATCTCTTGTCATGACTGCAAAAGTAGACCGCTCCCCTTACATGCATATAGATGTATACTGGGATCGATGCCTACATTTTGTTGTCATTCGAGTGGTAGTAGCATACATTGTTTATTATGTATATATGTGTATAAACATGATGTATATCTTCATTTTGTTTCTCTACATTGAAACTTATGATAACCATGTTATTAAATAATCAAGCAATCAATGACCAATGCCAGTAAATTCGAAGCCTAGCGATGCAACAAACATTTACTACATGTATAATATACATATATCTCTTTTTGGAATGTGTGTTGGCTCCCTGGAGGATAATATTTGATGTTCGTGTCAGGCTCCAGTTCCTCCTATTTCTGAGAAATGACAGTCCGGTGCGAATGACAATTCACGGATAGCCTTATAATGTTAGTATAGTTCCAACCACAAAAATGCAATTTCAGCTCAGAAAACGCCACGGATGGAAAAGTGAAAGACGCACTCTCATGGCAAAATGGTGTATCTTGAAGAAACGCATTTCGAGAAAAATCAGTATTTAAGTTCAGGGTCTCTATTTTTTTGTATTTTACCATTAATTAAACTAATTTTCTACCATATAATGTGAATAATGTGGTAAATACACAGTGGAAATTTCAGCTTCTTGTCTTTGCTGTGTTTTAGATAGAGGCAAGTTGAAAACAGTTGCACCATTCGTACTATGAAGTATCAAAAACATTATTAAAGGGATTGTTTTGGTAAAAGGGTGTATCTTGAGAAAGCATATCCAATAATTATTGCATTTCTACGATGCCTATAACACACTGCCTAAATATAGCAAGGCAAAAATCTGGTCACATCTAGCACAAAACGGGGTGTATCTCAATATGCACCCTTTTGTCAAAGAAACTGAATCAAACAAGCACATTTTTGCACGAGATTCACCCTGCTATCTTTGAAACGGAAAACCGCGTGGACTTGAGGGTTCGTTTAATGGAAACAGAGCCCTCCAATTACCCCAAAAATTCCTTTATCTCAAAAAGGTCAAAATCGAAGTTATACCATTTTGCCATGAGAGGGCGGTAATGCGGGGTTAACTACTACACGGAAACTTCAGTTTGGCCGCTGTTTTAGGCTTTATATTATAAGATCCTTCTTCAAAATGCAATGAGACATGACATATGGCCTACCTGGAATACGGATCGATGTTTCGGGGAATTTGAGCTATCTATCCATTTATATAAGACAAGCTGATTTACCCGATCATAGATCGGGTAGGGCGTATTTGTGTTGGGGTTGAAAGTGTGGGGAGTTAAATGTAAATGGGGGATTTAGTTGAGAAGACATGTAGCTATAGAAAAGCAATTTACGGTGACGCGATCTGAGGCAATTTCTGACCACGTACGATATAGTAAAACAAAAGATCATTTTTTAAACATCATTTTCGAGTTTGGAGTCATTGAATCAGCTGTTCTGAGCAAAAGAATATTATAGTAGGCTACAATTTTTATTCGGGGAAGAAAAAGTGGGGGTAGGGAACCAAACGATATTGCCCGCTTTAAAATGTTGGGGTGGGGGTCCCCCGTCCCCCACCGATTGACGCCGCGCCCATGATAATTATGTACCATGGCATGTATAACTGTCTGTAAATTTTCCCGTTGGTCTGTTGCATTTTGTGAGGCAGTCGCGTTTGTTAATGTGGGAAAACTGAGTTGAAAGACTTACCGTATAGTACACAGGCGAAGGCTGATTGTACTGTTTTGACAATAAATCATTATGGAATAAAACGTGAAGGTGGCATTTGCAATAGAAATGTTGAGTGTGTTACCATAAAATTACATAGTCTGAATCATGGAGGAAGGTCATTATGAAGGTACAGTATTTGACTCTTCAACAAACGTAAACTTGAACTTCTTACAATTTGCGAGACCTGCGAGGAAAAAGTCGATTTAACTATTTTATTCAAGTTGGCATGGTTCAACCATAATATAAGCAAGGCCAAACAGCCAACAACCGCCAATATTATTATTTATGCACTCTTCGTTATTCCAACCCAACATAGTTCAAAGATCACAATATTTGAAGCAATGCATCGATCCCTCGTTGATTTACCCGATCATAGATCGGGAAGGGCGTAGAGTTGGGGATGAAAATGTGGGGAGATGAATGTAATTGGGGGATTTTAGTTGAGAAGACATGCAGTTATAGAAAAGCAATTTCTGTGGTGCGATCTGAGGCAATTTCTGACCACTAAAACAATTTTTTTTTAGCAAAAGATCATCTTTTAAACATCATTTTCGAGTTTGGTGTCATTGAATCAGCTATTCTGAGTAATAGAATCATTATACATGTAGTAGCTACAATTTTTATTTGGGGAAGAAAGGGGGGGGGGGGGGGGGGAGGGGACCAAAAAAGTCTCCACCGCTTTAAAATTGGGGGGTGGGGGGTGGAGGGGTTCCCCGTCCCCCACCGATTGACGCCCATGATAATTATGTACCATGGCAACAGTCTGTAAATGTTCCCGTTGGTCTGTTAAATTGGCATTTTGTGAGGCAGTGGCATTTGTGAGAAAACGTACTTGAAAGGCTTGCCGTAGTACACAGGCGAAGGCTGATTAAGAAGGTCATAATTAAGTTTCAGTATATTGGACTCTTCAACAAACGTAAACTTGAACGTCTTACAATTTGCGAGACTGTCTGCGAGGAACTTGTCGAGTCAACTGTTATTCAACTTGGGTCAACCATCTATATAAGAGCAAATTTTACTCGGCCTCCGAGAAATGTTTGCTCCTGAAACGATCTGAGACCGCGGTCTTTCGCGACGCCAAAATCGCTCCACGTCCGTGGAAAAATGTGGAGGGTGTCTTCCGCCAGATTGGGACACATTTTCGTTGATTTTTTGTGTGACTGCGTTTAAGATCGCGATGTTTGAAGCAATGCATCGATCCTTCGTTGATCCCAGACAGGCCCCCGAAATTATAACACAACACTGTGGCGGGCAGCGAACTCACAACGCTCAGCCTTGGTGGAAGCATGGAGCTGTATTAACACACGATGGAAGCAACAGAGCACTATACACGTCACTCACATGCTTGTGCTTCAAATCATGCAAATAGCGAGCACCGTAGACCCAACCTCGTTTCCAGGGTGTGGAGCAGGCTGCAGTACGCGTTGCCATTGACAGTTTTGCATAGCCCGGAAATACTACGCAGTGTAGACTTTCGATTGGTCAGACCGCGCAAGGCATACTTAATGTGTAGTCCTTCTGAGTATTCGTTGCACTCGGCGCAGGGGCGGCAAGCGAAGCATATGAAAGAATAGGGGCACTTGGTGGCCACGCACCATGGAGAAAAAATATTTTACCAAGGTCACCCCATACCACAATTTGGTGAACGCTTTTGCAGAACGGCCGAGTAGAACACGTAAACGGAACCCTACGTCGAAGCCGCTGACCTTGCACAGTCTAGACACGCAGAAAAGCCAGGACAGGGGGCGGCCAGGCAGTCAACGTGAAAGCACACACGACGGCAAATTCCTGTGCAAAATGCAGTCACGAAAAATAGACGAAAAGGATCGCCGGTCCGTACGGGAAAATCAGGACGACCCGAAGAGTCTAACCCGCCGGAAGACACCCTCCGCATTTTTTCACGGACGTGGAGCGATTTTGGCGCCGCGGGAGCCCGCGGTCTCGGATCCTTTTATGAGCAAACATCGTCTCGGAGGCCGAGTTAAACTCTCTCTTATATATATAGATTGTCAATCTGTTGTAACTTTGCGAGAGTCACTCGTTCATTGCACACACTATTTACCCCGCCGTGTTTGTAGCGTCATTTGCCTCGCTATGATTTTCAATATGGCGTACCGTGAGAAAGGTCACTATTGCAATGCATGCTGGGAATCCAGTATGGTTGACATTGCTGCGAAATAGCAGCTTTTAATTGTCACCACTTTGGCCCAATTTCGTTTGCTTTGGGGTGCTTTTTGACAGCTCGTGCCTGAAAGAAATGAGCAATTGCAAATTTCGGGACAAAATCACACAAAATGAAAAATATTATTCATGGATGACGAAGTACAAATGTAAAGAGTTGAAAGATAAGAAAGATGAAAGTGAATTATTCATGTTACATTAAGTAGGAGATTGAAGTAAGTGATGGATAAAGCTAGGTGAACTAAAATATTGTGAAGCAAACTAAAGCAAATAATTATAATGAATTAAACCTTTTTGGTACTTGACAGAGCATAAAGTCAACAGATTTTTAACCAACTAAAATTGTCACCTGATATTTTCTAACTATCCACAAGATGGAAAACACAAGACACATGATCAATCAACTTATAGTAACCTCATTATATAATTTTGTAAAGATACAAATTTTATATTTAACAATTATAAACTACTTATCCTCAAAAGTCACGCTGTTACTCAAAATGGCTGTTTTGGTGTTAATGATCAGGAATGACCAAATATTATGCTCTAGAAATCCGTTTTAACGCCTTTTAGCGGTTGTTTTGATGCCGAAGGGTGTAGATGGGATGAATATAGACTTCAACAAAGTTTGTAGAAATTATGTCAATAAAACTGGATTTTTTTAACCCCTCGCGTATGGGAAGCGGCCATGGCCGCAGTCGCCAATCCTCATTGGAATGCATTTGCCAGCTGTGGTATGCCGCGGCACACGGCTAGTTAACAAACCATCGCAACAAATACGTGATCGCCCTCTTGTTGTGCGGCCACAGTGCAACCAAATGATGTCATATTTATAGATTTCCTCAAAACCAAATCAGCATTATATTTGCCAAATGTTAGGAAGTGCGGCCTAAGCATAATGGTCATACGAAGACTCTTAATATCCCAACCCTGGTAGAGGGAATAATATCCTTGGTTCATTATAAATATCATAAAAGGTACAATCATTTACTGACATTTCGCCAAAATTGCATTCATTCTAGATCTTTTACTCGCACTTCAACACATAAATAAAACATTACACAATTGCACATCAACCTTTTAACAGACAAAAATGAATTTTAATAATTCTAAAAAAAAATAACTATAAACATTCCCGACTGTGACGTTTCAGCTTGCTTTTAATAACGAAGTAGAATAACCAAAGCATAATAAATTAATGTAAAAGCGAGTTTGTTTTTTTCATAACATGGCCAATCTCCACTTGTGACGTGTTTGCCGAAACAAGAACAAATTAGAATCACACATGAATCATGAATTACACTGCACTCATAATGAGATTTACCGATGGAAAATTGAAATTGAAATGAACAGTCAAGCCAAAAGATATCATTTGAAGAAATTTAGGTATAATTCCATCTATAATTTGTATAATACGAAGTGTTGAAGGTAATCGATAAAACCCTTACTGTTTGGTGTCATCATGTCTGTAACAGTTGAGTGAAGAAAGTGAACATGCACACGGTGAATTAAGGATTGCTAAATTCGCTGCAAGATTACTCGAACTCTTGTGTTATAGTCATGGAAATGCTTTTCTTCTTTTTCGATTAAAACAACTCAGTCTGTAAAAGGTTTTAGAAATGTACTATTATGGGCTTTGTTCCCAGATGGAAAGCACCATCACGTGGTGCCATCTTTCAGCAAACAGTTCTCTTCTGCAATGCGTGTATATCTCTTGAAACAAAAATGGTTTAAAAGTGTTGACGAATATTATTCAATGTGGGTCAATTAACATGCAAACGATGCTTAAATGTTTGAGTTGCCCGGCGGTTGCCTGTCGGTATGACGTCACAGGGCACATGGTCAGTAGAAACCATTTCTCCTTTTTTTCTTCTTTCTTTTTATTTGATCTTTCGTTTTAATGCTCCTGTCATTCAATTTTGTTTGTGGCAAGCTGAAACGTAACGGATTGAAATGTATTGAATCCGTTTGACTCTATTGACATATTTAAATATAATTGTTTAGGTACTTTCAAATCTGATGTACTTTCCTTTTCTTATTTCAAATAGAGTAATCTAACATTATGAATGTTTTCAATGTACAAGTAAACTAAATCAAGCATGCATAAGCAATAGTGACATGAAGCAGTTTATATCCACAATGTTGAGTTCATTACAAGGAACGTGGAAAATCGTGCATGAAAATTAACCATTCGCAGCGTTTACAAAAAAACTTTACAACAACTCGTCAACTGAAAAGGGCAGCAGGTACTTTCCCGCACTACGCAAGACCCTATTCATAGCAATACAACAAAAAGCCACGTGCCAGACAGTGTCCAGACAGTTGCCAGACAGTGTGCTGGAAAGATAATTGACTGGCGGCTGTGGTATGCAGTTATGAAGGGAGATGACTGTGTCAAGTTACAGGTCTTTGTTGATGTTTCAATGAGACTTGGCAGGAGGCCTGGTGAAAAGTTTGTTGACACGGCCTGGCTGCAAAGCTCATTGAACCAGCTGATTTGGCAAGGGTCGAATGAGGATTAGATGGAAGGTGACCGTCAGTGGCCCTCAATTTTTTTTCTTCAAAAAATTCGGTTATCTGGGGCCCAAAGGGCAGCAGGTCACTCTGCACAGGGTTCAGTTGAAGCCTGCAATTTATATGTACACAAAGAAAATTACCACAGTAAGGTATTTTCACTGTACCTACATTTGTGCATGTCCTAATTCTTACAAACAACACGGCACATAATATGACTAGAGTACAAATGAATTTGATGGGAATACCTTGTATTTTCCATCTGAACAGGTATCTCATCCTATATAGTCCTATTTTAAACCCTTTGCGCATCATAAATATGTCAAAATACTGAAGAAATTGCACAATTAAAGGATAATTGCACAGTAGGCTTATAAGTAAATTGTTTCACTGCTTGAAGTACTTGTGTACAGGATGAAAAATGACTACTTTTACATAATTGGCATTTTCTCAGCAACCGAAAGTGCTAGTTTCATGATTTTTTTCAGTATTTGAAAGAAAAAGCTCTCAATTTTACTCTGATACCCAAAACATATAAATCCACTGATCCCTTTTTTAAAAGGCAAATGTTTTAGGGTTGCATTTTTTGGGGTCATCCTGTATATTAGGAGTACTTTAGGATGATTTCCTCTTATATCAACTTTTATTTTTAGCGCGGTTTTCCGCCACCCCATCATCATACCTGTTGTTGGGTTAAAATGAAAATCCCAGGGCGCCCTCATCGGATTCTAAAAGAGCACGGTAAGTACATTATTCAAAGTCTTCTTAATCCATTCACTAATGTGGGTCACCAACACTAAAGAGATCTCACACGTACCAATTAATACGAATCAACTATTCACTCTCTACTTGACAGAAAGAACACAAATCCTTTATGAACTAATAAATATTTCAACCACCGTATAGTTTTGTGTCACAAGTAATCACTAATGACATTCTTAACAACAACCTATTATCTAGATATTGACAAATTGATTCTCAATTTAGTTTCTCTTATCTCAATGAATTTTAATACCGGAAATTTGTTTAAATCATAACACGGACACAATTATAATCCTTTTCATCAAGCAACATATTTTCAAATTTAAATGGAATAATAGGAAACCAACTAATTTGCCTGAACGCTAGCCTTGACCAAGGCGTTGGGCTTATCGATTCGCCGATAAAAAAAATCGCCGATAAGAAAATCCCTAATCAACTTGGCAAGGCATAATTGCGTGCACATATCGATGCCCGTACGCTGCTAGTGAGAAAGTAACTTGTACCATACAGCAAGGCTATGCTTGTACGTACGCACGTACACACACGTACTCGTACAACAGCCATGCACACACAGTACATGGACATATGCATGAGCTAGTCCGCGTAACCCAACAGGCCACGCGGCGCGTATATCCCCCACACGTACGTACGTACACCCACACGCAGAACATAGTAGGCCTACATTTACTGCCTTATTACATACACCATGCGTACAGTCCGTACTCACGTGTGTGTGCTTGCTGGTTGTGTTAGTACCGAACCGTTCGTACGGACAAGGGTCGGTGGTACACGCACGTAGCCGCGTCGATTGTGGGTGCAGGGCCCGATTATCTCCCTTCGACAAAAAGCCGAGAGACCGCATTGAACAAGGCTACCTGAACGCCAGATTACGAAAGGAATTTAGATGGCAATAATGACGTCGCCGTACTCTAAGCTTGGTCCAATTTATTCACTGTAAGGGATTACATCCCCCCCCCCCACCCCGAGTGGGAAGTTTCCGAACAACTCCATTTTTCTTTTTTGTGACCATTTCGACCTATGGGAATGTTGACAAGACAATAGAACGTTTAATTTTTAGAACTTGACGTACTTTTTTCAAATTTGGAAAACACTCACTCCGTTTGTTGTAAGAAGCCCAAAAGGAAAGGTGCTCGGGATTACCCCTACTGGCGTTCATTCAAACACTCATCTTATGGTTCGCGTGAAAGATCAGGAATTTGAAGCTTCTTGAAGGCGCACGAGTCGTCTGCTAAATACTTCGCGTATCCCTTTGCGGAATTGACGATACTTGAAGGCGTAGATGGCCGGATTGACGCAGCTATTTGCAGCAACCATCGCTATAGACAAAAGGTAGTACCAATCCTGAACATTGAGATTCCAACCCAGATTGAACAAGAGATAGATGATCTGGTTTGGTGTCCAGCACACCAGGAAGGTGATAAAGACGATCAAAAGCATTTTGAAGGTATTACGTCTAGCTCGGAGTAGGGACTCCATCATACCTTCTGGTTGGGCGTTGCCATCCGTGGTAGATGCTCCAGCTGCTTGACCCACGTTGGCCGGTGCCGGTCCAACTCGGGCCGCTCCACTCTTAAGCTCTACGCTGGTGCGAATGTACGCAAACAGCATCACTGCCACCGGCACGATATACTGCAGAATGGCCACCAGGCCCCCGATGACTTTGGACCGATACGCGGCACTCGAGACGCATCTGCCGCCTTGTACCTTAAAGGCGTTAGCGACGTAAGAGTTGATAACTGTTCCAATGATCCAACACGCCGCAATGACCACGCCAACTTTCAGTCTTGGGCGCTTGGCGAAGGCTGCTTGGTACGTGAACGGGTGAACGATGGCGAAGTACCGCTCCATAGTCAACGACAACAGGTTGTACGTTGATATCACATAAAGGAGGAAAAGTGCAAATCTGGAGTACCAAATGTGGCACACTACCCACCCAAGGGCGTTATTGGGCACGGGGTCGGGTATCGGGGCCTCGCTCTGCAAAAGAGTCATAAATGAACCAAGAAGATCCACCACAGCTTGGTGGAAGATGAAGGCGTTGGTACGAGTGTGCATCGATGAGACTTTACCGATAACAACACAGACGAGACCGTTGCCCAAGATGCCGACAATACCCACGATGGTCTGAAAGATACGCAGCCATAGAATCTGCTCCATGTTGGTTTATTTGTTGTGCACTCGTCAGTCTCCTGCTTCAAAAACCATCAACCTCCTTTTGCGTCTGTATGCGGAGACGAGAGGAAACCCAGCCTTTGTAATAATATTGCGCTTTCGAGATTGAAACGAAGTATTGAATGGCTCCGAAGGACTATCTAGAAGACCGCTAGTCGTAGGAATTCATCTTTTTGGCTCCAAAACACGTTTCACCACGAAATTGTAGCATTTGAAGAGATCGTTAAACACACGACGATTTTATAGTTACTGCCAGGTGTAGTCCGGGCAAAAAGATGTTTTTAGGTGACAAGCTGTGCAGGAAGGCAAAACAAATAAAAAAATAGCAATATCTGCCAAAGGTCGGATTTTTTTATCGGATGTAACACGGTTAACTTCATATCCCCCAGAAAATCAATTCCTCTAAATGAGTAACTTCAGGACCATGGTTGAGCGTCGAACCAATTGAAGTCTTCGGGATCAATAATGTGGTAGTGCGGGCGAAAAGATGTTTTCTAGGTGACAAGCTTGTGCCGGAAGGCAAGACAAATAGCTAGTACTGCCAAAGGTCGGATTTTTTTTATCGGATGTATAACATGGTTAACTTGTTCCCCCCAGAAAATCAGTTCCTCTGAATGAGTAAATTCGGGACCATGGAAGAGCGTCGAATCAATGTAAGTCTACGGGATCAATACTGTTCATCGTAATTGCCGAGTCCCAAAGACGCATCGCTGTTAATTACATAAAGTTGGTGTCTATGAAATACATAGATAAATGATGAAAACAACATTCGAGGCTCCCCCCAAGCTCCAAAAATTAGTTACAAATGTTCATTTACCGTGAGATGGAAGTGCATGCGATTCTTTTCATGTGGCCTATTGCTTTGTTTTTTACTACATGGTTTCGATATTGCAAATTGGTTCCTTTGGCGTTGAAAAGGGAAAAAAATACACTTGACATTTCCATGAGGGCTCCACAAACTTCAAATTGGCATTATTTTGCCAAGAAATATTCTGTTACCTGTATCACTAACTTTAAGATATGTATTCCAACAACTTTTTTTTCGAAAAGCTAGGCAAAGTGTCATAACTTGGCGTAGTATAGGACGGCCGTCTTTTGCTTCATGAACTGCAAGATATTAAAAAAATAAAGAGTTGTGTGAATACACTGGGGGATTATCATCGGTAGAGCGCTCGTTTAGCATGCGAGAGGTAACGGGATCGATACCCGGTTTCTAATTCCCAGCTATAGTATGTGATTTCGTTTTTTCTTCACAATTATCGTGTGGTGAAATGTTTATAAATCTCCTGTCGTTTACTGGTTTTCGATTTCGCTTCGAATTGGCGAATCTGGCGTTTCCATTTCGCTAACGGTATTTCCCTAAGCGTCGATCATTATGGCCGTACACAATCAATTTTATTTAAAGAAATTTACATTGATATGATTTTATTACATTTTGTAAATCCATAAGTGACCCCACCAATTACAGTTGCGTTCCGAATGTTCTTCAACAAATTCGTTTTTTTTCGCATTAATACATTTTTAACTTGTATGTTTTATTCCAACAAAACATTTTTACAAGACACAACGTATCCCTTCCTACTGCCTCCATCTCAATCGATAATAAGTTTGTGTCCCCATCCATTTCAGTGAGAAACTTAGGAGTAACATTCGACTCATCCATACCCATGTCCTCTTATGTTACATCCCTCTGTCAGTCAATCATTTTTTTTTAATTTACGCAACATCTCAAGAATCCATCACTTCATTGACCAGGAAAGCTGTACTCATGCCACGAGGGCCCTGATTCTGTCCAGTCTTGACTATACCAACTCTTTTGGCTAGCTGCAGCAGCTCTGACATATCATGACTGCAGCGTCTACAGAACAGAGCTGCTCGTATAATAATAGGTTTTCCCGGCCAATTTTCTAAAATGTTCATTCACTTCTGAAAATCGGTCATTCAGTTTCGTCTGAATTTGAGAATCGCTCCGAACACGCGTTTTATTTTTGCTATTCGATTCCATTTCAGTTCAATCAATTAATTGATTGAGCGGCACCTTTCGTTTATGTCCATTCAGACTCGTTTACAAGACTTCTTTTTCGCTTTTGGGGGCGATTTCAAATATTCAACATTCTATTTTACTCTCAGTTTAATACCATCGGCACCAGATAGAATTATAGTTTTTTTTTCATTAACCGTCAATCAAATTAGCCGTAACTGAAATCAATTTAGAAAAGGTATGCTTGCGTAAATGAATGCACAGGTAACGTAATTGACCGTCTGTTTCTCAAAACCGATTGCACGGGCAATGAAAACGATTGAACTTTGAGTCAGATCCTTTTCTAACGAATTGTAAGCAGCGTGTTTCCAGGGTAGCGGTTCTTCTTGGGTGGATGTCACATCCGCTGTTCCTCAAGGCAGTGTTCTCCAGTGTTGGAGGTCTCGATTAAAGTCTTGGTCTCGAGACTAGTCTCGAGACCATTTTTCAGGTCTCGACGATTTTGAGGTCTCTGAATGTTGTGGTCTCGGTCTCGACTCCAAATGTCTCGGTCTCGGACAAGGGTCTTGGATCAAGACCTTGACGAGACCCGTTAAATATTCCAGAGTGTTTGAAGACAATTATTCGATTAAAGAGTTGACACTATATCACCAGGGCAAATCATAACGCATAGTGCATGTCAAAATAATTTCTGCAGGGAGAGCACGCTTATCGCTAGCATATCGCCGTTCAGTTTTAGTAGCATGGGCTGTTTGTTTGTCAAAATCCGTTAACAAACCGTGTGTCGTGACGTCCGTCAGGTGCGTACATTGACTAATGGCGACAACTATAGACTGTATGAAAAATACATCGCACTCACACTGCACGCATCACGGACGTGTGTAGTCACTGCATCTTATAAACATCCATGCAGGAAGGTTCTCGTTCGTAGTATAACGGTGTAACGTTAAATATTTAGAAATTATTTTGAGCGCCGTTTAATCATTTATATAGTGCTGTCTTGTCGAATTGAAAATTATGTCCAGCAACTCGTTAACCATAAAATTTGCTTCTAAGGAGCATAAAGAGTTTGTGGACAAAACATCAGGAAAAAGAAAGCACTCGGCTACCTGCATATTTTGTTTCAGTCAGAAGCGTATTACCGACCAGGCAGGGACGAGTTCGACATTCATCAGGCACATGAGCCGTGTCCACAAAGTAAAGTACGTACCTACCGCCTTATTTAAACCATTTATTAGGCCTAATAATATTACCCCCAAAATAATTGAACCAACATCTCCGTCAATTTGAATTAACGTTAAACAAGGGAAAACCTTACAGATGTAGGGCCAGGATGAGGTATGTCACCGTGTGTTGCTGGGCTGAGGGCCTAGTTCGCCCGTGTTTAACTTTTTTTCTTACGTGTTGTTTGACAATTTACCAGTTCAGTTATGTTGAAGTTGATGAAACAAAGTATAATAGCTGCGACTAATAATAGTTATTTTCATGTTAAAAAGTAATCAAATTATCAGCAAGCTTTGACTTGAGTAGGATTGAAGCTGAGTGATAGTACGCTTTTTTTTCGGTCCTCAAAGTTTTCACGGAACATGGGCGCCGCCATCTTGGATTGAGTGCGCCCTAACACGTTATTTATTTTTTTTTTCTCAAAAATAGTTTATGTCCACCACTTGTCCACAAGTTTGCTTTAATGTTTTTTTAATTTTTTTTTTCTCCAGAAAATTATTTCAATTTAATATGTTTCATGTTAATATGATTTTCCTTACTGCAAATAACTGTAACTTTCTAAATTGACTCATCTGCAGATACAATGAATACATACAAAACAAGACTCAGGCAGACAGTCAGCAGCATACCATCACCAGTTTTATTACACCTGGTGCACATATAGCAGCAGTTTTTTTTTTAAAATGAGGTCTTGGCGCGGTTTCGGTCTCGGACTATGAGGTCTCGGTCTCGGACTATGAGGTCTCGGTCTCGGTCTCGGTCTCGGATGGGGAAGTCTCGGTCCGTTGGTCTCGGTCTCGGACTTTGAGGTCTTGACTCCAACACTGGTGTTCTCGGACCATCCCTGTTCAATCTCTTTGTTAATGACATTCCTCACAGGGTTTCCTCTATCTGTGCTCTGTTTGCAGATGATGTTTTGCTCTTTCGTGTTATCCGATCTGACATGGATGAGCATTACCTTACAGACTGACATCAACAACCTCTCAGAGTGGTCCATACAAAACAAAATGAGTTTCAATTCCTCCAAAATAAAGATCATGCATATCACTCGTTGTCACAACATTCATCCTCCTGTCTACAACCTCAGTAATACTCACTTATCCACTGCCTCTTCTATTCAATATCTCGGCATCACTATCAGCTCAGATCTCACATGGAATTGACATATCAATACTATTGTTTCCCGTGCTAACCGTCTCTTAGGATTTAATCGTACAGTTGCTGGCGGTGCCTCAACCCAGGCTATTTTCTTTCTTTACAAATCTGTGGTCCTACCTATCCTCGAGTACGGCGTCCCTTCCTGGAGCACGCACACGTTATCCCAACAACAGCAGGTTGGACGTGTGCAGCGAACCGCAACTCGCATAGCTCTGAAACAAAGGCGAGGTCAGATGTCATACGAGGATAGGTTGGACCGGTTGAACTGGCTTTCTCTTTCATCCAGACGTGACTTTCTTACCTGCTCTTTCGTTTACAAATGTTTGTATGGTATCGGTAAGTGCGAAGCTATATACTCCACTATTGCAATCTCTTCACTGGCTTCCGATTGAACAACGCATTATTTTCAAAATTCTGTTATTTGTACACAAATCAATCCATGATGTCACTCCCAATGATACCTCTCAAACAGCATTTTACTCTACATAGTCCGGTCAATTTAAGTTAAGACCTAGAACAAATTGCGATTGAAACCATTCAAGCGTCAAACGAAACATGCGAGTGCAGCAGACGACCGTTTCAAATTATAAATTTATGCAGGACACTACGGATGGAGTGGACGATTTTCCGCCTAAACTTTGCGCAATAAGTCCACAGACGAGATACAATTATTTGCAAAAAGGGCCGGGGATGTCTAAATATCATTTAGATTATACACAGATGGAAAGCGGTTGGACAGTGTATGCATGGACCGTTTTAACAGTAAAGCGAAAATCTTTAATTATTGATTGAGCTCCCGAAAATGAAGTGTTGGATTTGGTTAAGAAAATTCAGGAATTACTGGGCTCAGGTTGTGAAGCTTAAAGTGCATTTTGTTAGTACATAAACATATGAAACAAAACACTTCAAAACGCTTGGATCACAAAGAAAACAAGGTTAATGGGCGAGGTTGATGAGAAACAGATGTAGTTCTGTACATGAGCTTTCCATGTTTTTCATAAGTACGGTACAATAAACTTTTAACAGCTAAATTGAGAAGATCATGATTAAGTTACGAAAATTCATTGAGACATCTGCTTGTACAGTCAAGAGTGAAATGAACTACTCCAGAAAAGCATACTTGAGTCCCGATAAAAGGATTCTTTAGATGGAACAGACCTCGCGTTGTTATTCCTTAAAAAAAGTGATCTCATTGGCACGGTCCCCCCCCCCCCCCCCCCGCCTAAGGCTTTGATCTGGGGCACTTGTATTATTTGTAGACGTAATGTACTTGTCACACTATATTTCTTTTTTTAAAGCGTAGAATTCAGCTAAAAATTAATTTCACTGCAAAATTTTAATCCCGTTAATTTGACAGGCTTTAGTAAGGTTTTTGAGTAAACGTTCATATTTTTTTGACAATTTATATCTTATTTGTAAGTTATGTCAATGACCTAAATTCAACACAAAAGGAACACTCGAATCTCGGATTTCGGATATTTTTCCTAATATTTAAAATTGGACTCTGGCCTATTGGCGTAGACACCTGAAATTTAAATTTAAATGGATGTCATTGTGTACATCATTTTCCGCCCTTTATTCAAGTAGACCTGTTTATGCAAAGATTTTTTTTAAGAAACAAATGGTTTTTCGGGCACAAAGTGATTTATTTTAACCAATAAATATTTTGGGAAGCAAAAAATCTAAAATTTCTGAATTTTTGTCAAGAAAATATCCTATAGTATTATACGGCAGTGTAAATTACAATATATTTTAATAATTGGTGGACAAAGAAAGGTCGTCTGCTGTGATCAGTCGTGTCTCGCGAAATCTCATACGTTATGTGAACGGACATTCTGAGTAAAGGGCGCAAAAGAAAACATGACGCTCTCCATACTGCTGTTTACGTATGATCGTTTACCTACATTTGAACACATACCAAAGATTACAAAGTTGTACATCACCATTTAAATGACAAATAAGAGACTATTAATCATTCTAAAAAGTACAAATGATTGGAAACATTCCCGACCGTAACGTTTCAGCTTTCTTTTAATGGCATAGTGGAATTACCAAAGCATATAAATGAATACAAAAGCGAATTTGGTTTATCATAACATCGACAATGTCCGCGTGTGACGAGTTTGCCGAAGCTGGGACAAAATTAATTAGAATCATACATTCCTGAAATACATTGCACTTATAATGAGATTTATCGATAGAAATTTGAAATTGAATTGAACAGTTAAGCCAAAAGATATCGTTGGACGATATTTAGGTATAATTCCATCTTCGGTAATCGATAAAACCCTTACTTTTTGGTGTCATCATGTCTGTAAAGTAAAGAAAGTGAACGTGCACGCGACGAAGGAGTGTAAAAGTCTCCGCAACATTACACGCACTGTTGTGTTATAGTCAAGGAAATGCTTTTCTTCTTTTTTCTTTTTCGATTAAACCAAGTCTGTGAATGGTTTTAGAAATGTAGTATTTGGGGCTTTCTTCAATTCACAAACTACATGGAAAGCATCATCACGTGGTTCCATCTTTCAGCGAACAGTTACCTTCTGTTCTGCGTGTATATCTCTTGAAATATGAGTGGTTTAGAAGTGTTGACAACTACCGTTTAACGTAGGCCACTTAACATGCAAACGATGCTTAAATGTTTGAGTTACCCAGCTGTTAACTGTCGGTATGACGTCACAGGGCACATGGTCATGTTTTTTTTCGTTTTATTTGATCATTTGTTTTAATGCTCCTGTCATTCAATTTCGTTTGTGGCAAGCTGAAACGTAACGGAAATTTAACAATGTGTTCATTATACAGGTGAATTAAATCAATTCAATTCAGTACAAAATGCTTTATTTATCCTTAAAAAGGCAATTACATATGGTTGGACAGCTTACTATAACAAAACACTATAAGTAAGTAATTGCTAGTCGAATGTATATATAACATTTTAAACAATGTACTTATGATCTAGATGAAAAAATGATGTAAACTTCTCTAAAAAAATATTCTTTATACTTGAAATACGATGATAAATGTACACGTGATGACAAATAAAACAACATGACAAATACAATGATGGACTTTAAAAATGCAGATATCAATTATTTTAAAGTCTAACAACCACTGGAATAATGACAACTGGAATAATGACAACTTCGTTAAGTTCTGTAATGACAAATATAATGAAATGACAAATAAAATGATAGACCTTTAAAAATACAAATAGGACTATCAATTATTTAAAAGTGTAATAGCCACTGGAATGAATGAAAACTTCCTTCTGTTAGTTTTACGCGGAGGGCATCTGAGGCGGCGTCCTGATGGAAGAAACTGATGTTTTCAGAACATGATTTTCACTGGCTACGATAGAGTGGGCTTTCGAAGCACTTGTTCGCAGAACAGACTAAGGTCTTTCTAGGGCTCTCTGATGATTTTAGACCCAAGGTTAACAATCTTTTGCGAACTGTACTTATTCTTACCAATTAGGTTAAAATACCAGGAAGTACATGAAAAGCACAATACACTTTCAATGAATGACTGATAAAAAAAAAGACTAAGAGTGTTTTGTCAACAGAAAAAGTCTTCAATTTACGTGACAAATTTAAGCGTTGTTGGCATTTTTTTTGACAATAACACATGTGTTTTCTTCCCATCTAAGCGTGTCATCAAATATGGTTTAACCCTAATCAGGCCGGGTTATTTTGACCATCTCTCAGCCGGGGGGGGGGGATTCAAGATCTCGCCATCGAGTGAAACTGAGTACATGCATAGAACAACTCATCATAAACACACCCAAGAAATTACATGACTAAAGGTCAAATGGCTTTAGAATTATGACTAATTAATTATCCATATGTACGAATGGTAATTCTGCTCTGAGTACACGACGTATATGGGAAAATTCAGTTTTTTTAACGGTGCGTAGTGCCGGAAAATTTTTCGCTACGCGGCAACCCCTGGTGCGCAAGGCTCGAGGCTAAAAAGTCATAACAGCTCGCGTCGGGAATTTTTTTTTTAAGGCTATCGCGGAAAAGTTGAGGGGGGGGGGGGCGCTCCCGGCCCTTTTAGGGTTAAGGTATTTATATTCGGATACAATTTCAACTTCCTGGTCATGAATGAAAGTTTTCGAGGCACAGGTCACCATTGTTCCTTATATCAACAATAAGTTCCTTGGTTTTGAGTACATTTAATTCCATATAGGAATCATCACAACAGTCAAAAAAGTCTTGAAGAGCATCGCCATACTTATTATTTGATCCAGAAAGGAGTGAAATCAAAGCACTGTCATCAGCAAATTTGACTAAAATTTACCGTCGTGGCTACTGTACAGGAGTGGTGATAAAACACACCGTCGTGGAGAGCCTGTATTAGTTACTATGACACTGGATACATGACCATTAACACTAAACTCCGTAAGGGCTCCCCAAAATTTTGTCTAGCCCCCCCCCCCCGCAAAAAAAAAATCCATGCAAAAAAAAAGGCAGTTGCCAATTTGAGAAGTTGACGTCACATGCGACCTGTCTCACGCCCAAAAACAATAGTCGTGAGAAGGGGGCATTTGTACACTATAAGTTATATAGTGTGCATGATTGTAGGATTTATCAGCGCTCCCCATTGAAAATGTGGTACAGCCCCCCCCCCCCCCCCCCCCCCACCCCCATCTGTTGATTATGGGAGGCCTAAGTGTCCGGAGAAAAAAAAACAAGTCTGAGTGCGGAGTTTCCCCACCGACACCACTTTTACTTTGTTTTTCTTCCTGTGGCCATAACGACCTATAGGAAGTTTAACAAGATAATAAAAAGTCTATTGTTTGATCTTGATCTTTTGACATATCAATTTTAACAAAATACTCACTCAGTTTGTTGTGAGAAGTGCAAAGGGATGGATGTTGGGAACTACCCCCACTCACCCAAGTTCAATGAGAAGTTCATCACGTTGTTTGCGTACGAGTTCCAGAAGTCGACGCTTCCTCAAGGTGCATGAGACGTCTGCAAAATACCTCGCGCAGCCCCTTGCGGAATTGGCGATACTTGAAGGCGTAGATGACCGGATTGACGCAGCAATTAGCGGCCACCATCGCTACAGAGAGCAGATAGTACCACTCGTCGAAGTTGAGCTTCCAGCCCAGATTGAACAAGAGATAGATGGACTGGTTTGGTGTCCAGCACACCAGGAAGGTGATGAAGACGACCAAGAGCATCTTGAAGGTATTACGTCTAGCTCGGAGTAGGGACTCCATCATACCTTCTGGTTGGGCGTTGCCATCCGTGGTAGATGCTCCGGCAGCTGGAACTACGTTGGCCGGTGCCGGTCCAACCCGGGCCGCTCCTCTCTTGAGCTCCACACTGATGCGAATATACGCAAACAGCATCACTGACACTGGCACGATATACAGCAGAACGACTGACAAACAACCCATGACTTTGGACCAGTACACGGCATTCGACACGCACTTACCGTCTTGCACCTTGAAGATGGTAAGGGCGAAAGAGTTAGTAACGGTTACAAAGATCCAACATGCCGCAATGACCACACCAACTTTCAGTCTTGGGTGGTTGGCGAAGGCTGCTTGGTACTTAAATGGGTGAACGATGGCGAAGTAGCGCTCCATAGTCAACGACAACAGATTGTACGTTGATATGACAAACATGAGGAAGGATGCAAAGTTAGAGTACCAGACGTGACACACTACCCACCCAAAGACGTTGTTGGGCATGGGGTCGGGTAGCGGGGCCTCGCTCTGCAGAAGAATCATTAATGAACCAAGAAGATCCACCACAGCTTGGTGGAAGATGAAGGCGTTGGTGCGAGTCTGCATCGATGAGACTTTACCGATAACAAGACAGACGAGACTGTTGCCCAAGATGCCGACAATACCCACGATGGTCTTGAAGATACGCAGCCATAGAATCTCCTCCATGTTGGTTATTTGTTGTGCACTTAGACCCTTGCTAGAAAAATCATCAACCTCTTTTTGCGTCTGTATGCTGGGACGAGATGCGGCCCAGCCTCTTTTATATACTAAGCCACCTCATCAATAATTCATATTCTTGCCCTCATTCAATTTGTAAAATACTGAATAGCTCCGAAGGACATATCTAAAAGGACCATTTCGAGGGAATTAACCCCTTTTCGCTCGAAAACACGTCTACCACGAAATGGTAGGATTTGAAAAGATCGTTACAGACACGAAGATTTTAAAGTAACTGCCAGGAGTATTGCTGGCAAAAATAGGTTTCTAGGTTACAAGCTTGAGCCGGGGATACAAAAGTAGGCAATTACTTCCGAAGGCCTAGTTATTTTTGTCGAATGTAATAATGTTGATTTCTTTTTCCCCTGATAATCTGTTCCTCCAAAATTAATAAGTCCCGAACCTATTGAAGTTTTCATGATCACTACTGACATCATAAATGTCGAGTCACACGGCAAGACGCACCGGTGTTAATTACATAAAGTTGCTGCCATATAGTTTACTGATGAAAGGAGTATTTGAGGTCAGTCCCAAGCAAAGAAAATTAATGACAATTTTCAATTTACAGATGGAGATGCTATTCTTTGCAACCGGCCTTATTTGATTGGTTTTTGCTGTCCTACTTTATTAGAAAACATGAAGACTTTTTGTTATAATTAGATTAGATTAGATTTCTTTATTGTCATGTACAAATTACATGAAAATTGATTTCCCAGTGTACAATTAAAAATGTGTATACATACAATAATTTAAGATACTCGAAAAATATGACAAGGCCACAAATATATAGTGGTTCTTAGAATACTTTTATTTTTCATGTATCATAAACAATATGTCCTTTATAAGATTAAAGGTCGATGTGAAGCAACTCTACATCCTTGAATACTCAGCCTTTTATTTTGTCCTTTACAATTAAAGCCTTATTTTGAGGCAATGTGCATTGAAAAAAATGAAGCATATTTGCATGAATTGTGGGGACTTCATGAGCAGGTCGAGTTTAATTGTGTTCTTTTCGACCGTCCAAGGAACCTTTTTTCTTTATGTCGAAACAGTTCAGGTCAAAAGAATTCAATCCAATCAATCCCCATGAAAAGAAGCTCACCTTCATCGGTAATGCAAAATTTGTAACTTATATTTCTGAGCTTGGGAAGAAACCTCTTTCACTTTCGTTTTTTTTTTGCGTTCTGTATTCTCTGATCACCAAGTTCATGTAATTAACAGCCGCGGTAGGCGTAGGCCTTCGAGTCTAGACACAGAGACTGAAGACTTAAATTGGTCCGGGGCTCAACCAAGGTCCATAAAACTCATTCATTAAAGAGGACCTGATTTTCAGGGGGGGGGGGGATTTGAAATGTATTGTGGTGAAATGGGTCATTTCTGATGAGTGTTGATAATTAAATTGGTTCGGGGCTCAACCAAGGTCCTTAAAACTTGTTCATTTTCAGGGGGACAATCTGCAATGTATGCATGGGCGTCGCGAGGGGGGGACAAGGGGGCGCTCCCCCCCCCGAAAAGCAAAAAAAAAAAAAAAAGGAAGAAGAAAAAATAGAAAAAAAGAAATGAAAAAGCGGTGCGATGTCATATTGGTGTAAATTCAATGGGGGGGGGGGGGTAAAATGTCCCTGCCCCCTTCTCATATAACTCATAAATCGAGAATATGTTGAGAAATACAGGAATTTTTTGGGAAAAATATGTTTTGCCCCCCTCTAGATAAAATCCTGGCGACACCCACGAATGTATGGTAAAATAGTTCATTTCTGATAGTGACACTTATGTGGGTTGATTGTTATCGTTATCATTTCTACAGTGCTCAACAAAGGGCTAACGTAATTATGGCCAACGCACTGTAAAACCTTATAAAGGCTTTTTTGCATTTAAATATACAAAAAAACAGAAAAGGAACAGGAACAAAGAACAGGAACAAAAGAACAAACAGCCGGTTGAAGTTTTTTAGCTGCTTGTATAACTGAAATTCAAATTTTCATAAAAACAAGTCAGTTCTTTTAAATACTGTAAAAACATAAGCGTTTATGAGTTCAACACTATGTTTACTGTTCCTAATCCGAACCGTCCATGAAGCGTTTATAACTTAAACACAACGGTTTTCCTAAACAGAACCGTTCACGAAACTGTTGCAAAAAAAAGCGTTTATAATGTGTTCGAAAGTTAAACACTGGGGTTTTTTTTACAGTGAAGCCTCTTGCGACTTATCGGAAATGAAACATATGAAATCGTCAAGAGTTTTAGTCATTGCAGTGATGAGTACAATTTGAAGTCGAAGATCAATACAAATAAATGATCTCAGGATTATCCGACTCAGAACGGGCTTCGTGTTTGAGCTCCCGCGAATGAAATTTAGTCTATAACTACAGCTAAAACTGACGAAAAAATCTTTGAAAACGGAAACGGAAAGCAGTTCAAAACATGTGATGTTAACAAAATAATACAGTAATTATCTTGAAATGTTTAAATTTAGAAACTGTGTAATGCTGACATTGTGTTTCATGCAGCTGAGTGGGGAACGAAAACGTGCCGATGACGGAGTGCAAACATCGCCGCAAGATTACTCGAAATCCAGTTGTACCGAATTGCTTTTCTTCTATTTCGATTCAAACGAGTCTGTAAATGTAAAGAAATGTTATAGATATGTCCGGTATCAGGTTGCAGTTCCCAAGACAGTAAACCTCGAGGGATCTTTGGACTTAAAAATGTGTTTTTTTGGGACTTAATATTTAACACTCATTTCATATAAATGCGATGATCAATTTGTAGGTTCAATTACAAGGGGCTCAATTTCATTTCAATTGCATGCAGTGTAAGTCATGAATGTGGCATTCTAAATATTGTATTTTCCCCCCGACAAATTCGTCTCATATGGAGATTGCCGATGTTCTGAAAAAGCAAATTCGATTGTTGATTTCTACTCGATTTTATTTGTAGCAAGCTTAAATGTTACGAATTGAAATGTATTCAATCTTTTTGGCTGTATCTGAATGTTTCAGCTTATTCTGAAATATTTCTACTGTTCTTTTCTCCATTCAAAGAGGCTTATCTAAAATTATGAATGAATTTCTCAATTCATATGTTTTAATACACAGTTGAACACAACTCTTTATTAAACCATATTTAAATATACATGTTCAATTAAGCTTGTTTTGTTATTCATGCTCAAAAGAGCACACAAAAAATGTTCACAAAGAGCACAATACAAATGCTCATAAGAGCACAATATAAGGGACGTAAATTAAGTACCGACAAATGCGGTACTGTATGGCAAGATGTTACAAACCATGAAAGCCACCAGGATACCTGATGGGAAAAGCGCCCCAAAAGCTCACCATGGAGTAAAAGACTGACCAAAATCAGTCAAAAAGTGTGCGTAAAAGCTCCAACGGAGCACAAAGCCACAACGGGCTGGGCTGTAATGGTAAGGAGTTTCGCATATCAACCTGTAACCAGTTTATAAAAAACTGTAAGGGATCCCCGGGCTCCGCAGTATGTTTTGTTTTTGTCTGAGAAACCAACCCACAACATAAGCTGGTGTATATATTGCGGAGTGACCAGAAAAGGTTTATTGCTTACTCCTACAAATGAAAGAACTTAAAAAGGGGCCTCACTGTAGGCCTCAAATGGATAAACATAAAAGAACGCTGAACAAGTTGCTGTGAAAACATGACCACCAAAATGTGGAACGGCACCTCTCGCCATGCTATATTTAGTTCACGTGTACATTGAAAACATGCATAATGTTACACTCTAAAAACAAATTGGTTAAAATAACCAATAGCGATTTGAATGAAGAAAAGCAGAGTAGATGTGAAAGTACATGTACCTAAAATAGTACATGGATCTAAGTATGTAAATAGAGTCAAAAGTATTCAGTACATTTCAATCCGTTACGTTTAAGCTTGCCACAAACACAATTTAATGAAAGGAGCATTAAAACCAATGATCAAATAAACAGCAACAAACAAAATTGTGTTTTCTATAGACCGTGATTGTGCCCTTTGGCGTCATACCGAGAGACAACCGCCGGACAACTCAAACATTTAAACATCTTTTGCATGTTAATAATTGGACCACATGAAAAAAGCTGGATTTCCAGCTTGCGTTAAAGTTGGTCACATGACCAAAAGTTAGGTTTCCATCGCCTTGAAATAAATAGGTTTGGGCAAATATACAATATAACATGTTGCCAATTTGATATAAAGAAGACACGATTACCAGCCGAAGCTATCCTAACCACACTGGTGAAGATTAATCTCTTTTGCAAAATGAGAAGGAAACGCACAGCATTGTGGGACTTCCGTCGTGATCATTATACCATTGACATGTGTACGCCAAAGAGTCTACCACGGGTGGCCATCAGCTTAACAATTATTTCCAATAAGTGAAAAAAAGATACAAGAAGTATAAGCAACCCCATTTACAAGGCGGTTGTTACGAAGGAGCAGCAGGGCTTCATGTGAAACAGGAGAGATTAAGAACAGGCGATATTTTTGTTCACAAACAGTAATTAGCTACTTTATAAGCGATACATCTGGAGGTCATTTTTTGTTTCACTATTTGAATGGAAACTGACTTCGCGTAATTTGTTTTTCGTTCATTAGTGTTTCTATCAAACGCACGAACAACGCCACAAATTTGTAATGAAATAATGAGTATTTTTTTTCTCGAGTTTTCAGCATAACATTTAATTGAATTTCGCTCTGAAGGATGTGAAGATTAAACCAAGACACAAGGAAAAGCACCCTAACGTATAACATAATTTACTAGACAGTTCGCTGGTTATTAACTCAGTCAACAGTAAGATCGTATAGGCCTAGGCCTATATCGAACATTCTTATGCAGCGCGTGTTTTAAAGGTCTCCATTACAAACATTAAAACAATAAACTGCCAACATAGTGAAATATCATACTTGATTGTAAGCGAATGATAGGATCAAGCA